AGTGGGGATTGTGGAGTAGGGAGTATGGGATGTGTGGAGTGTGGAGTGAGGAGTGTGAGTGGGGAGTGCGGAGCAGAGGGAGTGCGGAGTATGAAGTGTGGAGTGTGGAGTGTGGAGTGAGGAGTGAGGAGTGGGGAGTGGGGAGTGTGGAATGTGGAGTGTGGAGTGTGGAGTGGGGAGTGGGGAGTGGGGAGTGCGGAGTGTGGAGTGTGGAGTGCGGAGTGTGGAGTGTGGAGTGGGGAGTGTGGAGTAGGGAGTATGGAGTGTGTAGTGTGGAGTGAGGAGTGGGGAGTGGGGGGTGTGGAGTGTGGAGTGTGGAGTGTGGAGCGTGGAGTGCGGAGTGAGGAGTGGGGAGTGGGGAGTGGGGAGTGTGGAGTGGGGAGTGTGGAGTGTGGAGTGCGGAGGGTGGAGTGTGGAGTGGGGAGTGGGAGTGTGGATTGTGGAGTGTGGAGTGTGGAGTGTGGAGTGAGGAGTGGGGAGTGGGGTGTGTGGAGTGTGGAGTGTGGAAGTGTGGAGTGTGGAGTGCGGAGTGCGGAGTGTGGAGTGTGGAGTGTGGAGTGTGGGGTGTGGAGAGTGAAGAGTGGAGTATGGAGTGGGGAGTGTGGAGTAGGGGAGTTTGGAGTAGGGAGTGTGGAGTGTGGAGTGTTGTGGAGTGGGGAGTGGGGAGTGGGGAGTGCTGAATGAATGATTCATTGATTGATAGATAGATAGATTGATTGATTGATTGATTGATTGATTGATTGATTGATGATTGATTGATTGGTTGATTGATTGATTGAATGAATGAATGACTGAATGAATGAATGAAAAAGTACAAAACGTAGGGCGTGGACAAAAGGTTTCAGTGTTTTGACGGAGTTGGGCCAATCTCTTGAAATTCCGAACCCAAAGTGCTAAAACCACTTTTTCTTGATCACTGACTATATGTAGTGTTTTTTTAATGAGTAGAAATTGGGAACTAAAGCAACAAACATGAACAAACATGTAGCTGTGGCTTGATGGAGTTGGTCCAAGCTATTCGAATTGAAAATCGCCAGTGCCAGAAAACCAGTCGCATCTTGGTCGCCCACAGGTCCAGGCGGTCCTTTCAGCCTTGGGCCGCTTTGGTGTGGGGTCAAAAAAGGGTCAAGAAAATCGATTTTTAGCCCCTATTTAGGTTTCACATGTGCCTCAGCTTTGGCTCGTGCAAAATCAGCCACAAGCTGCCATGACGCATTATTGGTTGATGAGTTTTAAGGGTGGCATCAAGTAGTTTTTGAAAAAATTGGAGAGCCGCAAGCATTTCAAGTACAGGCGCAAGCCCAATGTTGGTTTCACAGAGTTGGGCCAAACTCTTGAAATCATTAAAGTCAAGCATGCCAAGCCCCTTGCCTACAATATGTTTGTGTAAGGGATGCGCGAGGTTCAAGCACGGGTCAAAACCCTGGCTTTCGGGAAAACAACGCAAAGTCGCCAACAACCGGACACGACTCCCGGTCTATTGGATTTCGAAAGCACAAAAACTTCAAGGTTGAAAGGTATGCTGGAACTAGGAGGCTTGCTGGTTGAAGCGCAAATACGGAAATGGGGAGATCCAAAGCACAAGCAACAAAGTTGTATGTCCTTTAGGGTTGTGCTGTTGCAGGTAAGGGGATTAAAACGTGAAGTGTCCTAAAACGATGTTCGTTGATATCGTAGTCTGAGGACACTTTCGAACTTAAAAAACATCTGACGAGTAGTATACTGAACGTGTTTCGCTTGCCCTCGGAAGTTGCGCATTGTGCGCAATGCCACAACAATAGCCTGCGTTCAGAAGTATGTCTGTAAATAAAGTCCAATGAGCTTGCCATGTGCCACATGCGTCCCATGTAAATGCTTCACGCTTCAGCCAGGGAAATCAGTCGCTCACAAGTAAAGAGGGTTGCGCGCCAGCGCACTTCAATCACATGTCTCCCACAGGACAGGCAACCAGAAGCGTACAAAAAACCAAAGATGAATACGCCGACAAGTCTTCGGATCGCAAGTAAGCGCGCGAGTAAATCTGTGACGTGGGATTCGCGTGTAAAAGCGCAAGAAGAGCGCAAACTGCGCTGTCAGTTGCAGGAGTACTACGAGACCTCTGGCAAGAAAATGCATTTTTTGCTTGCGTTCCCTGTGGTTGGCAAGGTGCATTCACCCAAGCATCGTTTGGTGTTACAAGGGCGAGGCGACAATGCAGCGGCTCCAGAAGCTGTGGAATGAAACGAAGCCCTAGTTTCACCGAGAGAACGGCTGGCGCAGGCGCTTCGAGGGAACACCGCATGAGTTGCAAGGATTTCGTTGCTTGAGGATTGAACGGGCTGCTTCGCGAAACAAATGACAAATTACTTGCGGGGCAACCTCCGTATGACTTGTGCTTGCCGGTGCCTTATGGGTTTCACACAGAATTTTTTGCTTGTGACATGTGCAGTGTAGGTTAGACTTGCAGATATTGGTGCTTGTGCTTGCAAAGCAGGAGGCCCGACTCAGGACCATCAAGCGTGCTCGTTCTTACTTGTGAAGTGGGAAGCTGAGCTTTTTTTGCCGTTGACATGCATGTTCCCATGCACTCCCTCCATTGGTTTCTTCTTATTTTGGGGCGTTCTGGCTGTGTTTTTCTGATCCCGTGCAAATTTACTAATTTTGCAAAAATAGTAAATTTTACTAGTAAATTCTTCGATTTTAGTAAATTTACTATTTTAGTAAATTTACTACTTTTGCAGACTCAGGGTGCTGGGCCGGCTCCGATGGAGGTTGATGCAACTGTGACTCAACCGAAGAAGACTTGGGTCGAGATGGTGGTTCAAGGAGCCCGGCCGAGTGCGAAGGCTAAAATGACCCCGGTTCCAAAGGCCGAGCCAAAAACGAAGGCCGCTTCAGTATCTGAGGCGAAGAATGCTCCGGAGGAGACGAAGCAGGCCGAACCGAAGGTTGAGGTCAAGAAGGAGAAGATAGGCGGAGATGACGCTCCTGGCGGTAGCCGGGGGTCGGCTGAAGGGCAGAAGAGAGAAAGGAAGTCCCGTTGGGATCCTGACGAGACTGTGAAGGAGTCGACGAAGCGAGAGGCATCGACGAGGCCTGATGACGTTGACAGCAGACCAGGTGCGGCAGCAAGAGAGGCTAGTGGGGATGATCTTCACTCTGCGCTTGGTAGGTCTTCGGCAAAGGACGCGGTAGCGCCTCTGACGGCCTCCAAGGCAATGGCAAAGAAGCCTGAAGGCGGTGAGATCAGGTTGCAGTCGGCTGGGCGAGCTGCGGCGAGCCCGGTGGAGGGTCGCTTCCTGGTGCTGCCTGAGAGTTCGGTGGTGGACGCTCTCTTGTCAGTCTCCACCAACAGAGTGCTGAACAAGCAAGTCAGGGATTTCATCAGAAATGGTGAAGACGCGTCAGCACTGGAGGCTCTCAACCAGATCGTGACGAACTCTCGCTCTGGGAGGAGGCGTAGGGAATCGGACGTTTCCCGCACTCCTTCTCGGAGGTCCGTTAGGACCGTGGACACCAGGGATTCCAGAGAGTCGAGAAGGCACAGATACCGTCCGCGGCGCGAGGATGATCGCGACCGGAGGAGGGACGATGCTCGTGATCGTCGTGATGATGATTCACTCGATCGGGAGCGAGAACGAAGGCGAGATGATCGCAGGAGGTCCGAAAGGGATCGTGATAGGGACCGTGCGCGGGGCGGACGTGACCGGAGGAGACGTGACGATAGCCGATAGGCTGAGTCACGAGGATTGCGGCCGGTAGGCTTGCGTCCATTCTCCAATGGTCGGCGCGGTGCGGAGGTGGTGATGTTCCTCCCGAACCGCTGAGGCGCGGAGATCATGTCTCTCCCATACCGCTGCTGGGCTGCTGGTCGTGTTCATCAGGAAGCAGTGTGAGTGAGAGGGAAAGCAAACTGATGGGGGGTTACTCCCGGGCATTTTTCAGGTACGCATGGTCAGGAGTACCTTTTGCCGATAGGCGAGGGTACTAATGGACATACGTTATCTTTTATTTCATGGCTTCTGATAAGAATTAAACTTCTTGCATTGTTGATGCAAACAGTTGTGACCTAGTGTCGTCATGTGGACCTTTCCACAAGGTATGTTGGACAGCGTTACCCCGATTAATTCGGGGTGGTGGCGGGAATTAAATGCCCGGGATGTCGCGCAAGTGCCTTTGTGGGTTTGCTCCACCGCTGACGGCGGTAGTGTCCAACTGTTTGCGGACACATGCGAGCAGTTAAATCCTATCAGTGAATGGCACGCTCCACCCGTCATATGACGGGCTCCTCGTGAGGGGGGTGTGATTAGCCATGGTTAATATCATCATCAGGGACGTCGCGGTAGTGACCGACCTGTGGTGTTTTGGCTCAAGTTTGCGGGTCCGTCGCGCCTCGGATGAGCGTCGCCGGGTCCCCGCGTCGATCACCTTCGTGTCGGTGGAGAAAGAGACATCGGCCCGGGGCAGATTGGTGGGGTCCGCCCGTGCGGTTCATCGTCGATCAAGGTTGCGGGTACTTGTTTACTTGTTTTGGATTTTCCCTTTTGGTTGTTGTTCTCTAGTGTGTGGGAAACCCTGATCTTTGGGACCGGGGATTGGTTTGCTTTTGGGGAACCCTTCTTTTTGTGGCTTGTTTACCCCAACTTACCCATTGCCTGGGCACAGGCTCGTGCCCGAATCACATAGAAGAATCATGGGCATGTGATCACTGGACCTTCAAATAGCATTTTCACATGAATCTCTGGTCGGGAGCTCAATTTCTGGATTTCATGCCCATTCCGTGGCTCGAGATTCTTTGCGTTGTTTCCAGCTGCCTCTCTTGGGTGGTTGATCCGAGCGGCTTGCTTAGGTTACCCCCCAACACAGACACAGCCAAATGGGTATGAGTCAAGAGTCTCAATTGCGGAGCCTGTGGTGATCATTTCCATGCAGCCCTCCCTGGAGCTTTCGAAACCCTGAGGTGAGTAAACTTTTGGTCAATCGATCGTTCGGTTGGTGGCCTCAAAACGGTCGCAACCTAGGCAGGACATGTTCGGGCGCAGCAGCTTCTGGATCGTGGGCGGGGACGGCTGGGCTTACGACATCGGGTACGGCGGCCTGGACCACGTCATCGCCAGCGAGGCTTACCGGGTCGATAGTCCGTCTGGTCTGGCCAGGGCTTGCAGCATGTCCCGTTTACAGGGAAACCCAAAGGAAGTTGTTTGAACATTATGTTTAATCATGTTTAAACAGGCATTGACCAGGTGCAACCAAATCAGCCTTTTTGTTGAGAGAAGGGACCATTGTTTAACCAATGCCGTGGAAATGGATTTCCTTTGTCCTTTAAGCCATTTAGAGGACAACTTTGAGGATGTCACTTTAGTGACTCGCAGCAACTCTGCATATCCTTGCGTATTATTATTGAGAAGTTCCTGCATGGCGAGACATCCAGGTGAGGGCTAATGGATGGTTGGGCCACGTGTATGCTTTGCAGCTCTTCTTTGTGGATGGAGAATTGAGGTGTCCCAACACTGGACAACTGACCCTTTTGATGGGAACCAACATGAAACTATTTGGCCCTGACTTATCAGAGGCCCCCCCAAGAAAATCATCATATGATCATTTCACTGCCAAAAAGGAACCACGCCCGGTTCTCCGGATTAATCCCAAGTCAGCATCATTTCTACGCCCAACTGCCGAGATGTGGGTATGATTTTTGTGAGGGCATCTTTGTTGGGTTGTTTCAACCGAAGGCCAAAGGAAAACCAGCAGCTGCGAGAGCATTCTCGCAGGAACATGTGAACATCCTGGTGCTGGACACTGCCGCGCGGCAAAGCAAAAGTGGTCAAAGCTGTCAGCCAAAGCAGGAAGACAAAGTTGTAGTTTGTTTTCGCTTGGCACCCCGTAATTTTCCTCATTTAGGAAATTCAGGCCCTTATTGCGTACAGTCTGCTGGTGAATCCCTTTCACTTGCCGACAAAAAGGAGAATTGTGCCATCCACTTTCACCCTGGAGTATATTTAGCTTTTGGGTGTCTTAAAAACCATGTTTTGCGCCAAGTTAAACTGAGTTTCGTTTTGGCGGCAGGAGCGATGTCGGAGGGGGAAGTATACCCTTTGTCCAATTTGGGCATATTGTAGTGGCCTCACCAAGGGGGTTTGTAACCTTTCCCATGCTTTCCTTGGGCTCCACTTCAGGTTTGTGCAGTGCGTTGATCCACCGAGATGTTAAGAGTTGTGATAGAACCTCGACTGGTCCAAGCCGCAGCTAGGACACGCCCCTTTGGGAATCTGCCAAATTTATTTTTGCCCTGAACTGGTTTGTACACTCCCGACCCTCAGAAATTCAAACACATGGCTACGCAACAGAGCAGCTCGAAGTCTCTACCACAAACCAGGATTGGGCGAACAATTGATTGCAATTCAAAGGCAATTGGCAACAGGGCAATTGGTTTAAGCAAATTCTGCTCGACCCAGCCGACCACTGGCCGATGCCCTCTCATTTTGCCTTTCGCCGATTGAATAGAGAAACACGTGGCTTTGATCTTAACTTCTTGCCGAGGATGGGGGTGTAAATGTGAAGCGGGCCTCAAAACTTTTGAGTCTTCTCTAACATTGGATACCCTGGTTTATTAGTGGTTTCGAATCAAGGCTTCGACAAAAGCACGCCAAAGAGTGCCACCCTCCACCGGGTTCGCCCAATGCACCAGGGTCCCTTTTGGAAGGATCAAATACTGCAGTTTGATGGCCAGCTTGAGTTTGATTTCCAGCTTACCTGGTGCAACGTTTGAGATGTTTGTTTTTACAACCCTTTGCCACTCATCCTCCACCCACAAAAGAGAAAGACAGAAAGGTAACAAAGGAAGGAAGGAAGGAAGGAAGGAAGGAAGGAAGGAAGGAAGGAAAGACAGGACAGGGACAGGGACAGGGACAGGGACAGGGACACGGACAGGACAGGGCACAGGCAAAAAGAAAGAACATAGCGACAACAGAAGAAACGCAAAAACAAGGAATACCATTCCACCTGCCATCTGTTTTGGCGCAAGCTGAGGCTCCCCCCCAGCTCACCCAATCCACCCCAACCCACGCCTCACTTCACTCCACCCAACCCACCTCACCGAGTCTCCCGCCACATCACCAAGCCACTCAGCCACCTAGCAACACCACCCACTGCAGCCCCAATCCACCCCCACCTCCACCCCCACCTCCACCCCCACCTCCACCCCCACCTCCACCCCCACCTCCACCCCCACCCACCCCAACCCACCACCCACCACCCACCCCACCAACCCAGCCCAACTGAGGAGATGTACAGCAACACCGGAGGGCAGGCCTCCAAGGCAACCCCGAAGGGTGCCATGGCCAAGTTCGCTGAGGGCGGTGCCTTGGCTGGGATGGGACGGGCCCGGCCCGTGGGAGGGTTCGCCCCGCCATGGACGCTGGGAGTTCATGTTGCGCCAAGCCCTTACCAAAGATTCCCAAGACAGACGATCAGTGCAGCCACGCAGTATTCCGGCAGGTTTTGGTCGGGGTTCTTGGGAAGGCCTTCCACTAACCCGGATTCCCGCAGCTTCTCTCGGTTATCCGGTGCATTTTGAGTGATATTGCAAACCAGAAGCGGGCATCAAGGAAGCAGGGCCTCAAGCATGGTTTCATGCTGGTTCCCTTGGAAAGCTCCCTGTTTAGACATGCAACCAAACAAGGGACCTCCTTTAAAAACCAAGAGGAAATCCTTGCCTTGGGCCCTTCCAGGGCCCGAAGGCGGGAACAGCGGTTGGCCCTGTTTTGGAATGGGCAGGCAAACCAAAGTCAAACGAATCAGTTTTGGGTGCCCATTTCCCTGCAAGTCGCAATTTGTTCAGATGGGCGAGTCTTTTGAGGGGAAACCCTCTTCGCGAGCCACCCATTTTGAATTCCAATTTAGGAGAGCCACGGCCGTGTCTTGGCCAAACCAGGAAAGTTGACCCAGAAGAAGGACATGGGGCAGCTGGCCATGACCTACAAGAACGCCGCTCGTAAAGCTCTGTCGAGGTTTTTTTTGGGACGAGAGCAGGACCTCGCCTACAGGGGTTGTGTTGTTCCCAGAATGCAGGTTCCTTTCAAATGGGTCCATGTCTTATTCAGGTTGGTAAATCTATTCTTCTTCACCCAGATCAGGCGGTTATCGTCTCTTGTTGGTTTTTAAGAGTCCTCGCTCTCCAGGAAACAGAAGGCCTGAAATGCTTAACTTTGGGTGGTCATTGGTGGCCCCATGTGGGTAAGGTGTTGAAGCCTGACGGGGCAAGTTCGATTGAGGCCTTGATGGCAACTTAAGGCTCTGATTGGTCCATGCTGGGCTCATGAGGTATTTTTTTTTGCTGGTTTCCAGAAATGAATGGCTGTTGACCACAAACCAACGAGCAAATGAGCAAGTCGGAGGTTCGACTGACACCAGCCAGTCAAGCACCTTTGTAGACGTATCTACCGGTCACACAGTCTGCTTCCGCTGATCCGCTTGGCGACAGATTTGGGCCCAGGTCTACGTCGCAAGTATTTGCGTCCACGTGAACCCTCAGCAGGCCGTGCGCGCCATGATTGAGGCGGATGCTTACGCAGGTGCGGGACATGTCGACGAATCGCCGCGTTTTCTGGGGTCAATGGCAGGGGTTGAGGAGTCCACACAATTCGTTTGGACCTCTAAAAGTTGCAGTTTCACTTGAACTGCAAGCAAGTTGCGTCCCTTTAAGGGGAAGCTACCCCATGGCGGAACCTGCGTCAGCACGACACTTCGAGGGCCAGGGTTTATGCGGATCAAAAAAAACACAAAAAAACAAGTCCTGTTTGGCGCTTACTTGCAGTCATGAATTTCGACCTCGATACTGCGGCGAATTCTGATTAAATGAGTTCGAACGAATATGCCTATATGCCTATGCACTTTCCCCGAGGCCAGGGATTTGTTTGAAGGGCCGCCCAAAATGAGTGTGTTGAGACAAGTTCACGACGGATGTTTCAACAAGTGCATTTTAGCCATGCACTCGCAAAAAAAAAAAAACACACACACACACAATCTTTTGACCATGTACATGGGGGACTGTCCCCCAAAAGACGGGCCGCTAAACAGGGAGCCTTGCGTTTCTCTTGGTGTCTCTTTTTTGCACCCCCTTGCCCCCACACCACCGATATAGGGTTTCCATGCGGTGCCGGCGCGCTGGCAGGCCCCAGCCTGATCCTGGCCTACGCACCCTGCATCTCCCAGGGCTACCCGATGGCGGAGTCCATTCAGCACTGCCAGATGGCCGTGGACAGTGGCCCGGGCCCCGGGCCCCCGGGCCCCCGGGCCCTCGGGCTTTGGGCACACGCCGATGAGCCTTACATAATAGAGCAGGGACGTGGTCCCAAAAAAGGGGCGCACACGATTGGCTTGTTGCTGGAAGGGGCGCAAGCCGGCATGGGGGAAGAAAGGACCTGGTGCTACCCAAGTTTTGAGAGACACCCAACAAGAACCGTGGCATCATGCACGAAACGATGCATGATGTGCCAAGGGGAGATGGTCAAGCGCGGGATTGGAATGACGGCTTAGTCGACTCTGCAGGCTTTAAGACAGGCGAGCTTCCCTTGCAAGCCTCCCCTTGAGAATTGAGTGATTTTAAGGCCACACCTTGGATTGACCAGCGGTTTTTCAGGTGTGGGGGGCAATGGTGACCCATGCCGCTCAAATGTGTCGAAGGGAGATCCCTTGCACTGGGAGTCCCTTGGCGGTAGCTGGCAAAGAGGCGTCATGATTTGCGCGGGAGGTGGGAGGCTCATGTTCGCACAGGCAAATTCTCAGCGGCTTCGGCCTGTTACCACGGCTGCCTTGGCTTTTGGGCCTCCAAATGGATAAAGATGGACCTGAGAATCCGGTTGGCGTACTTCTCGCCGCGACTCGTCTTGCCAGAGGCTACTGGCCTTTGTACCGCTACAACCCGGACCTGGCGGCGCAGCATAACAACCCCTTCCAGCTGGACAGCAAGAAGATCAAAGGCGACCTCTTCAAGTTCCTGGCCAAGGAGAGATATCCAGTAGCTTGGGTTCTTGGGTTGGGGACGATGCTTGGATAGCTATTGTGGGAGAGGAGATTGGGGGCCAGGACCTTTGCCCCTTGGAACATGGATCCCAAGCAGTTTTCGATTTCTCCTTTCATTTCAGGAGAACCGCTTCGCGGCGGTCATGCGCCGCGACCCGAAGATCGCCCAGGCAGTGCACTACCCGGGGGGACTTTGCCGTGGGGGTGGGGGGCATGTTAGACATATTATGAGGGCTTCTGGGGTAAGAAGAAGCTCCAAAAAACTCAAGTCTTCCATGCGCAGGTCGAGTGGACCTCACCGTTCTCAACTTGTGGGCAACGCAGACTCCGTGTGATTTGAGAGCCCGGGAAAGACGCCCATTTGGATGTCAGGAGTTGGACGACAAGCTTCAGCAGAACGTGGTGCAGAAGAATCACCTCTTGCAGGCGGGGCAGCCTTTTTTGAGTGAATTATTTTGTTTGGATGGCTCTCAAGTTCAAAAGTTCTCATTGTTGCCAAGCAAGCTCAAAAGGCAGAGGTCCCAAAGCATTGGCCATGTTGCACCCGTTGAAGTGCGTTGTGGAGCTGAATCTGCAGGGCGAGAAGCTTTCGATGTTTTGTACTTGCAGATGCAGAGCCCCTGTCTTCAGCAACTGCTCCGCCGGTATTTTTGTTCCGAACTCTGGCAGGTCCTGAACAAGGAGGATCTGGACGGTCAGTTCAGCAAGTTGGTGGAGGGCTTGTCAGATGCCTCCAGCACCAGCGACATGGCCCCGCGGCCATCAAAATTGAGAAGTTGTCCTCTTGCTTGGTTCAAACGGGGTTGCTCTTATTTCTTTGGGGGGACCCATTATTTTTTTGTGTGAGGGTTTATGTAAAGGGGACACCAAAGCACAACCAGGTCTGCAGGGCCTCCGAGCCAATCCGAATCTCAGATTCGGGGCTTGCCTAGTAATGCAGCGAAATGGGGTGCCAGCCGTTTGTTTGCACACCGGAGGTTGGACGCCAATCTCTCGGAATTTGTGTGATTCGAAACTGGAGCCGGGGATCCACGCCCGTTGCCAAAGACAAGTCTTACTAGTCGCTTGTGAAAGAAGGCGTTAATCAAGTCCAGCGCGGGGGGAGGAGTGCAGCTGCCACAGGCACGGCTCTTTTTGGGGTTGGGGGCCCGGTCTTTTTTCACCCCCCTAGTCTACTTGTTTGACCCGGAAACTTACAGGCTGGGAGTCCACAAAACCCGCAGTGACTTGTCCGGACTGTTCGGGGAGGGCCCCGCAGGGTTTGATTGCAACGCTGAGGTTACGGTGCTGTACGGCAGCGAGACCGGGAATGCTGAGGAGCAGGCGAAGAACCTCATGCAGGAGCCGACTTTTCGGGGGGGTTTTCGGCATCGTTGACCCTGAAAAGGCTCCGCCGCATGCATTTGTTTCCTGCTGCCGTTCAAGGAGTTCCGTTTGTAATCCTCCCGATGGGAGGACCCCCCTATCCCCCATCTTTGTGAAGGATCCACTGGGAACTTCCCCCTCAGTGCTTCCAGCTGGCGTTTTTGGTGAAGAAAACCTGATCCAGCCAAGCGCAGGACATCCGCGCCCGCGGGCTGAAGGCGGGGGGGGGGGTGGGGGGGGGAGTTTGCGGCACTCGGGGCCGTGGGCCTGGGCATCGGTGCCCCTTGGGTTTGGTTGAGCTGTTCCACACGTTTTGGAGTGAAGGGCACGCCGGAATGAGGTCTTTCAATTTCAGGGCTCCAACAAAACAACGGGAACGCTGAATGGTTTGATGTTTTAAACCCGTGGTGTAGCCCCATGTGTCGGCAGGTCAACTAGCCCACTTTTTAAGTGCTTTTTAGGTGCTTTTTAAGTGCTTGTAGGGCAAGTCCTGCCAGGGACTTACTAACTAGAGCTATGAAGCGCTTACCAACTCTCTCTCTCTCTCTGTGTTTTGTTGAGGCTCGGTACCAGTTTCAGCTTGCTTCAGCGGTCCCCCAAATTTGACACACCACACCCACACCCACGGGCTGGATCAAAAGCGGGGCTAGTAGAAGGAAGACATCCCAACCTCCATGGGCCGGTCATCGGATAGCTTCGAGTTTCTTTCGGCCCGAAGGCGCAGGTGTCGTCCTTGGATGACTTCGACTTTGAGGAGCTGCCCAACCAGAAGATCGCACCTTGCACGCGTTATTAGGGTTGTTCATTACTATTATTATCATCAGTTGTTTTTTCATTATTATTGCTATTATTATTAATTACTATTTCTAGTACTGTTTGTAACTGTTACTATTTGTTTATTACTCTTATTATTACCATTATCATCATCATTGTCATCATCTTCGCCGTCATCATGATTGTTGCAAATATTGTTGTTCTGATGGATTGCAATATATACATAATAGTTGATCGGCAAGACAAACCGGACCTTTTTTTTTGGGTCCCGAATTGCGAGACGAACCTATGTGTTTGAACTGGGGGACGCTGTTTTCTATTTATATCTCATGGCGGGGAAGGACAACAAGCACCCCCTTGGACTTGGACCCGGTTCTGTAAACGGCATGACCCAAGCGGACTGGAGAGGCTGCGTGCGATGCTCCCTGGCCCAGACATGTCATGGGGAACTTGACCTCATCTCTTCCCTTGATTTCTTTGTATGCGGGTGGATGCTGCACCCATACTGGCTGCTGCTTGCTGACCCATGAATCCCCTCCTCTTTCGTATGCACTCAAACCAGGGGGTGTCCATCAAAATGGGGGGTATACTCCAAATATTCACAGGTGTATTCACCCAAGCCCGAGAATGGGTGGGCATACACCCCAAACAAGCTATTCGACACAACGGGTGGGACACCTCGAATCGGACGGCCCTTGCAAAATCTGCGGGTTCCGCGGACGCGCCGAGGTGATTTTGGTGGTCTCCACCTGCGGCCTGGGCGAGATCCCGGCCAACTGCAAGCAGACCTGGATGAAGCTCCAGTCCCAGGCCTTGGTCCGTTTCGCCGGAGAGTCGAGGGGTGGTGTTGGGAGGTCGTTTTGGGAAGGGCAACGGAAGTCTGGCCCCAGACAAAACTGGCTCGAAGAACTGGAGGGGGCAAAGACTGGTGGTTTCTGTTTGGGTTTCTCTCGTTCTTTTCTTTCTTCTTTTTTTTCTTTTCTCTGGGGGCAAAGACTGCATTTGGCTCATCCGTTGCGCCATCCATTCTTCCAGAATTGAGACCTGCCAACCACAGGGGGCCACGTCCAGCGTCAGATCGGGGCCTCTCTTTGTTCCCTTCCCGGCTAGTTTGTCAGGGGTCCCCTGAATGTGCAAACGGAAAAGGGCGGTAGCAACATCTATCGGCCTTGTCTATTTGGTTGATTTTCTCTTGTTGGAGTAGGTCTTCGTTTTCACTGGCTTCAGGTTGGTTCTTTTCATTTACTGGTGCCGTCTACTTCTCCGAAAACAATCCTAGGACTAGTTCCATTTTCTAAGCCCTAAGCCCGAAGCTCAAAACCCAATCAACTCATAAAACCGGGTGGCCATACGCATCGCAGGACCTGCCCATGAGCTGGCTGTCGGGCACCAAGTTTGCCGTCTTCGGGCTGGGCGACTCTACGTACAGCACCTCGGCTGAGCGAACGGCAATTGGACGCCATCTCCAGCAGGGGATGTGGGCAACACACCTTGGTGCAACCTTGTCCCTAAAGTCCAGCGGCCCTTCCATAATGTGTTTGCAGTCAGGCAAGGCGCCTCTTTGCCTGGCATGTTTTCCTTCGAGCCGCCAACGGCTGTTTGGTTTCTACTCTCATTTGTGATCCTGTTCGGAGTGCTACAGGCTTGGAGGGGGCGGGGTTCAACCCCAAAGGGCTTGCAAGCGCCAAGCCGCCCATTTTTGGTATGGCCGGACGGGTACCAAGCTGAGGCCAGTTCTGCGTGGCGGCCATCCAGTTCGACACTCGTTTCGGGGAGCTGGGCGGACAGCGCATGCTGCCCCGCGGCGTGGGCGACGACCGGGACGAGGAGTTCGGCGGATCGCGCGGATCGCGGGGAGGGGGGGGGGTTGGCCTCTCCACAACAGCGCTTGGCAACATCTTGTATGTTTTTTCGCCCTTGACTAAAGTGATCACATGCAGAACATATTGAATCCTAGGTCTAGGGTGGTTTGTTCACGACCCATGGAGAATTCCAGGGCCCTCAGTGAGGTTCCGAGTGGGAATGGTCATCATTTGGGAAGCCAAAAAGAAGACAAGGCATTTATTTGGGGGTTCCATGAGTTTGAGACATGCCCATCTCCATTTTTGTTTTGCCCGGGGGCTGACTCCTTTGGTTTCGATGTCCGGGTCCCTTCCGCTAGGACCGGTACTACACCGGCTGGGAGGCCTGGCTTCCCGAGCTTTGGAAGGCGCTGGGCCTGCCGCAGATGCCCCTCACCCAGGCCAGCTGAAAGGCAAAGGGGAGCGCCCAAAGCCTCGAAGGCCATGCTTGTAGGTTCTGAGGTTCTAGCTGGTCTCGTGGGGTTGCAAGGCCAAGTCTGAGAGTTGATTGCCACGACGGCACCCAAAGCGGGCGCTCTCAACATTTCCCGTTTCGTCCAAGTATCTTTCGTGCGGGGTTCCATCAATTGGGACGAGCTCGAGGGTGATGCGGGGGTTGGAGTTCATGAGTGTTTGTTGGGCCTTTCTTCCGGGCCCCCGGAGTTGGGCAATCCGAGCTCAAACCCGCCAATCGCTTACCCTCACCCAGCCCAGCTCAACCCAGCCCCAATCTTTCCAGGATCATCCACGCAAAATCCAAGGTGCTTCCCAACATAGGGACAACCGTTGCCATGGTTGTATCGCTGTCAACCCTCTCAACCAAACAGACAATGGCTGCTGTTGCACTTTTCCGTGGAGTCCACAAAATGGTGTTGTTTCACCACCACATCCTTGAGAATGGACTAGCAAAGCAAGCTTCGGATGGTTGAAGGGACGCGGGACCGGGTTTGGCAGCCCCCTCTTCGCGCAGCCTTGTGCCTTGGCGATTTTGTTTTCCCAGGAGGCGCCTGCGCCCTGCTACCGCGTGGATGTGAGCCCGGGCCCAAGCCCGTAGGTTGCAGGGCCGTGAAGCTGGTTGGACTTAGTCTGATGTTCACCAAAGGGTCCCCAGACGTTTACCCCGGTCGGTGTCTACCTCTCACTGACGCTTTCTTGGAATCTCCAAATGTTATGATCCCCCCAAGAAACCCAGTTGTTATTCCTTGCAATTTCTGGTTGGTGAGTTATTATTCACCCAGACGAGTTTGAGCAAGGTGTAGGCCGGGAGCCTTTGGGTTTTGGAGGGTTCCATGGTTCCTGTCGACTACCCTCTCCCAGGTTCACCAACTCCTGATTGACCATGGAAGGGATTCAGATCGCGTCTTTGTTGGGTGCCCGTGTTCGGGGTTTGAAAGGGAACGGGGAAATCTCTTTGGGGTCAAGCTCCTCGTGTTTTTTTCAAGAGGCCAAGGGGGGAGCTCGAGTCGCAGGCGGCACCGGAAAGCCCCCGGTCAGCGATGACGACATCGTGCCCCCGGGCGCCTCCAAGCTGCAGCTGCTGCACAACTCCCTGCTGGTGCCTGAGAAGTACGATCGGGACATCCGGCACTACGAGTTCAAGCGCCTCGGTGATTTTGGTGATGGTCTCACCCACGGCTTTTGTTGTAGAACAGGTCCCTCATGTACAACTTTTTTGGGCCCTCATGCTTTCTAGGGGTCAGTTTTTGATGCCTCTTTGAAGCCTTTGTGCCGTCATGCCGTTTCTTGGTCGCTCTTTGGTACAATCTTTAACCTTTCAACTGGTTGACACGTGTCAATTTTCACTACGAACTTCGGAGTTTCACCCCGCAGGATCGAGGGCACTCCGGTGAGCTACAAGACCGGCGACAGCCTGGCGGTGTGGCCGAGGAATCCCATCGACAAGGTGGAGGCTGGAGGGCATCGGTGACACGGGAAGCAACCGGGTGGATTCAGGGGTTTGCCCCCAAAGTCAGGGACTTCCTCAAACTGGGACACACCTCCATCTCCCGGGGCTTTGTTCTTGGGTGCCCGTTAGCATTTCCGATTGCCAAATCCCCAAATCCCGGATGAGGAGCTGCCAAAAGGCCATCTCGCTTGCAAGCGAATGAACGTTTGACCTCGATTTTGCACGTGTCTAGCAATACTCCAGTGCAAATTCACATTGACATGGAACCCCTACTTTCTACAAGATTATATATACATACATGTATCGCGTGCACATATTTTGTTTGCTTTGCTTGCTTGCTTGCTTGCTTGCTTGCTTGCTTGCTTGCTTGCTTGCTTGCTTGCTTGCTTGCTTGCTTGCTTGCTTGCTTGCTTGCTTGCTTGCTTGCTTGCTTGCTTGCTTGCTTGCTTGCTTGCTTGCTTGCTTGCTTGCTTGCTTGCTTGCTTGCTTGCTTGCTTGCTCGTTCGTTCGTTCATGTTTGTTTGTTTGTTTGTTTGTTTGTTTGTTTGTTTGTTTGTTTGTGTGTTTGTTTGTTTGTTTGTTTGTTTGCTTGCTTGCTTGCTTGCTTGCTTGCTTGTTTGCTGGCTTGCTCGTTCGTTCGTTCGTTTGTTTGTTTGTTTGTTCTTTTGTTTGTTTTCGGGTGCCTACGTCAAGCAAACGTACTTTCAGCTCATTTGGCGGTTCTCTCGGGCTCGCGTTTTCGCGTGCAGGAGTTCTGCAAGATGATGGGCTTCGATGCCACGCAGAACCTCCGGGTGCTGCCCCAGGAAGGCCGGGCCTGAGTTCTTGGTGTGGACTTCTTTTCATTTGGGCGTTGTTCTTTGTCTTGAGGGTGAACCCATTTTTGGTGTGGTTTGAAAAGGGAATGACAGGGAACACCACCATTTATGTCAGGGGTCGCCGACCAATAGGTAACTATCATGACGTTTGTTTAAAAAAAGTCTAGGCCTTTTTCGGCCACTCCACATTTGCAGACTTATCGCCGTTTCAAGGGGTTTCCCATGATGAGCCCTGTCCAAAATTAGGACCGCCAAAGGCAACCAAGGCGTGGACTTAAGCGACCAAAAGTTTGGGGCCCCCGCCAAAGGCAACCAACTTTTTTTTGGGCGTGTCCCAGGGTGTTCCCAAGATCAGGAACCAATGTTTGTGCGAGCTGGGCCTTGACAGTTATTTTCTCTTGGGAATCCCCTTGAAAAAGGGATGGGACTTTGGTGGACACCTATTTCCACAAGTAAGTATGTCGTTTTGTTCCTTCCCCTGGCCTCAGGTGCGATGCATGTTTTGTTTCAAGAGGCTTCGTTTTGGGCGTTTCCTGAAATTTAGCGGCCCCAGATTTTCCGAGCTAGCTGGCTGACAGAATGCCATGCTTGCTGGCACCCTTCCACCTTTCCTTTGATCTAAAATTGCTGGGGATAATCTTGGAACCCCTCGCCCCCGCCCCCAATATGAAAAGTGATCCCAGAACATGGCCGGAGAACAGAGACTGGCAAACAAATCCAGGGGGGTTGAGGCTGAGGCTGGTGTGGAAGGGCAGCTTTTCGGCTTGGGGGCTCATTTCTAGATCTTTTTCCCCAGGCTTTACCCACATCTCTGTTTTTGCGGCTGTGTCAGACGTCACCTTTCGGGCCGATATGTTCAAGCGATTTTGGTGTGTAAGGGTGATGCCAGGCGGGAAGAGGTGCCTCTCCCCGTGCGGAAGCCAAAAGCCCGCTGAGGTGCCAGGAACTGGTGCCCCCAGGAGCTGAGCGTGCGGCAGCTCTTCAGCCACGTGCTGGACGTCTTTGGGCGCCTTGGACTTCGTTTCCCAAAGGTCCCAAGGCTTCCGCCCGGTTTCAATCATTGCCGAGTGAGCTTCCTCTTGTGGGGGGCAAGAGTTCCTAACAAGGGCGTTTGCATTGCCCTTGTTGGCATTTCCAAGTAAATCTCCTGGGGTGGGGTGCTGTTTTCAGGACATGGGAGGGGAAGCCAGGGTCCTCTGACGAATCCACGGGAATGGCTCACAAGTGGACTCACTGATCTTCGGGTGGCCTCTTGGGAAAAACAAGTAATATTGACTGGGCTCAAATGCGCCCAGGAAACCCAACCGAAAGTTCTTCGAGACGCTGTCCTTCTTCGCCAAGGACGGGGTCTCTTGAGAAGCTGTGGCAAAGACAGCTGCTGTGCGAAAGAACATCCAAGGGTTCAGACCTGTACCCTTGGCCCTCTACAGGGTATCCCACAAAGGATACAGCACGAGCCTGGAAGTCAATCATATCAACAATAGCTGAAAGTGGTTGGGGAACCAACTAGGGTACAGATTCTGAACTTCTGCCTATTTGCCCTCTTGCCAGTGAGGATCGGTCGGAAGATTTTCAGGTCATTCATTCGCGGGAAGCTGTGCTGTTTGTACTGCAATGACTCCATTTGGGTTTTCAGCGCCCCCAAGCCCCATTCTTGTCATTTATTCCCCCCCAACAGGGGGGGACCCTGTTCTTCCAACCCAGCCTGCTTTTGACCTCCGTTGTACCTCCTTTCCGGGCCAAAAAGCCAGGTGAAGAGAACAAAAACCAGCAGTCCCCAGGTCTTCAGTGACTTTGACAGGAGGAGGCCGACAAGAAGGCGCTGCGCAGCGTGGTCGAGAACGGCTCGGAGGGCCAGGCTCGTTTTTTTTACCGCTGCCTGCCCTCCCTCCAAGCAGGGAAGTGCACAGGGCCCAGTCTTTAGAGGAACGCGGGTGTGCGCACTTCCGTGTTGCTGGGGAGCGAATTGGCGGCCAACTTTTAGACTAGCCACTTTGGGGATGGGTTTAACGAGAGAGATCAGTCGTCGTTTTGGGGAATAGTTTTGAAGGGGGCGGTCCTGAATTAATTCCTTCCTTTTCGCCGGGCTCTCCCTTTTTGGACCAAACATGGGTGGTTACCCATGGGTTTAGGTAGCCAATGGACCATCCTGGTATAGTAAGTTGGGTTGGCACAATGTTCCGCCCCCTGGCACCGAGGCAAAAGGGTGGGTATGTGTGTTGAAATTAGGTGAAAGAGGCATCCTCAGCAAACACAGGCATCCTCAACAAACAACACAAACCGCAGGCGCTTTACCGAGACCTGACCCACGACTTTGCGCACCATGCGGACGTCTTCAAGAAGCGCGGGGGCCGAGTGGCCACCTGTTTTTTGTTCTGTCCCTCGTGAGTTTCCTCTCCGACGAGATCGCGTGCCTTGCGCCGGCTTTTGCTGAGGTTCCCGAGCGCGCGGCCGCCCATCGAGCAGCTGCTGAACATGATCCCTGTGCTGAAGCCCAGGAGCCGCCTGGATTCTGACCTTCTGGCGGTGAAATCGTTTCCGTCGACTTGTGGTTTTCGGAGTCCATCAGTTGCTCCGACGCTCGCAATAAACAGAAGACACAATTGGTTGTTATGTTGGGGTTTGGGTTAACACGTTCGGTCTTCGACACTGAAAGGGAACATGGGCTTTTAGAGCAGGTGTTCGGTTTGGGTCCCCTGTTTGGACATTGAACGCCACTCACCACCCACTGGGTTTTCACAGTCTGATTCAGATCGTGATGGCCTTTGGTTTCCACCCTATGGAGTATGACGAAGGTTTCAAAATATGTGGGTTGAGGTCTACTAGGAACTCCTCACAAACGATTTACGAGGCTAGTCAGCCTGCTGTGCGGTCTTTACCCTTGTGCTGTTGTTGGGCTTCGGTTTCCTTTCGGTTTCGCTTTTGAAACATAAAGCAGCGTGTTGGCGTCCCTTTTTTGGGACACTTTCGGAGGGACCCAGTGGTGCTACGTGTTCTTTCGTGTTTTTCTCATTGTCTCAGTCTCACCTTTCTGGATTTCCTGAATCAAGTCCCCAACAAGTCCTGCTCATGTTTTTTCCTTTCTCACAGGTGGCCGGCTCCCTGTGTCGAGAGATATTCGTGCTGCCGAGGCTACTCCATCGCCAGCTCGCCCATGATGCACCCGGAGAAGATCCAGCTCTGCGTGGTGTTGGTGGACTGGACCGTGGAGAGCACCCAGGAGCTCCGCCTGGGCGAGGCCACAGGCAGAGGGAGGGAAGTCGTGTGAAGGGCCCTGGGTTTGATCGGATGGGCAGGTTTGCCTGGGGTGAAACAGCGGGGGCTGGGAGGATATATGAAACAGTGCAATCTTTGAGGGACATGTCTGAGCTTGTATTTTTTTGGCCTCTGGGTCCAGCTTTGCCACCAGACCCCCACGCCAGTTGCGCTGGGTCTGCGTTGTCTCCCTTCATGGTGTGTAAAGAGGGAAGAGAAGGCGGCCAGCAATTGGTCCTAGGAAACCGGCATCGTGGGGCCTCATTCTGACAGAGAACTGTCGAAAGTTGCAATCGGGACCCATTTGGAGACAGACCCGCACTGAGACTCATCGAACCAGGGGCGTCCTTTGGATCTGAGTGGTGCGGTCAGGTGGCGAGAAGGAAGGGTTCTTACTCGGTGGTTCTTTTGAGGGTACCCTTTTCATCTCGGTTTAAAGGGAAACCTGAAGGAGAACCACATGTTCGCGGGCCCCCTATTTTGACACTTAGAAGAATCTGCTTTTTGGGCAACCCCCGTTTGTGCTCCTTCTGCTCATTTGTAGGGCAGTACATGTCCACGGAAATATAAGGGGCTAAACAAAGACGCGCCCATCATTCTCTTAGGATCACTAAGTTTGGCCTTACAATGCCGCGCACCCCAAATCGACCTATTTCGGCCCCTGATAGTAGTCCGTTTTGGGAAGACTTGCTGCAGGCTACATGCGCCAGCAGCAGCCTGGCGCCACCCTGATGTGTGCGGTGCGGCAGAGCGCCATCGTGTTGCCCAAGGAGCGACGTGAGTATTCTCAAAGCTTGGGGACTGGCTGATCTCAACTTTTTCTTTTTGTTGGCTTTCCCTTCTGTTTCTCTGTCTGCAACTGGGGGGCTTGTTTGTCGCAACCACAGATGCACCAAGGGTACCTATAGATTGTGTCATTTTTCTTTGGAGCCTAAAAAGAAGCCGGCATTTGAAGCTTCCGTTCTTGGTTCAGACGGGCTGGGATTTTCGTTCGGTTCGGTCCAAGTCTGCACCTTGAGGACCCCACCAAGCCGGTGATCATGGCCGGCATGGGCACGGGCTTGGCTCCCTGGAGGGCGGTGACCCAG